ATTTTTGCCTGTGATACGTATCAAAAAATTAAAAATAAAAGTTTAAGAGAAGTTAATAATTGATGTAAGCTTATGCATGCATTTATAAGATTGTCTTGATTTCTAATAAGATTGGCATGGACAGGGATGCTTATCCTATATGGAGGCTGAGTATAGGCAGACCTTTTATCTTTCCCCACATTAGAGTTGCAGGAGATAATTTGTAAATTTAAGTATTTAAGTATTCTGACATTATTGACAGAGTCATGGAAAACAGCCACTCTTAGATGTACAAATAAGTTAGTAATGTGCTGTTAGATACGTGGACTGTGCAATGTATCTTTAAAAAGCACATAATTAGTTTTGATTTCAAATGTGATTGGTGAGATGAGAAAAGAAGTGGTGAATCCTGGAAGCCAGCAGCACCTATGAGTCCATTGAATTAAATAGGTTTCACTGTTGTGTGACAGTAACATCTGTAATATTTAACAGACCTTCTAAATAAGAGGAACCCTACATCTCTGTTGACAGTTTAAATTAATCTTAATATGTTATGAGAATTAAAAATCGTTATCTTGTCGTTGTGCTGTGAGGCTTGTTATAAAGTCTACAGCTAAATGTACATTAAAGAAGCTGCAATTAACTTCCCTGGATGTAAATCAAATAAGCTTTAAGATTTATGGTACTATTGGAAATTTTTGTTGCGTAAACATGGTTCTACTTTTGGTGCTTTGAGTAACACCCAACACAGTTGGTTCATATACACCAAAAAAAGCAGCTCTATATATCAGCTTAGGAATACAACTGTTTTTGCTACTGCTTCCATCCCAATCTACCTTGGTAACATTAATTAAACACTGTTGAAGAATAAAGATGTTGGGTTATGTATCTGTTTGAAAGCTTATTTGTTCATTTTGGTGAAGATTTTGCATCTTATTATTATGTAGTTTGTTCTTTCATGTGGAATCTGGGCTTGTCTTCTGTAATTTAAACCAGCAGAGGGTTTTGATGAGCTGGTTTAAAGTACATTCTTTTAATAGATGTTCTTGCTAAACTGATAGTGAGGATAACAGACAAGGGTTGAAGATCTGTTCACGAAGTGAGCTGGGAATCTTGGAAATACCATAAAAAGCAGTAGGTAAACATGCTCCTGAAAGCTGGATTCTAACTCACGTATCCTATCCGACAGAGGACCTAGCTAAAGCTTATTCATTATTCAAATTGAATTATTTTTCTAATGTTTGGACTTTTCATTTTCAAACTCTGAAGTTCTTGTTAGGAAGAGTGTGGCAAGAGAGGGCCATTTCGGCACCATCTTTTTTACCTTGGTCAAGACTTCAGTCCTAATTGAAAAAGCTTCCTAGGTGAGACAGAACATATTTCTGAATCACAAAAGCACCTTATTCATGCAACCAATCTGGGAAAGAAATCCTAGGTGGGTGTTCCGGCTTTGTGCCCTCTGGGGAATGGAGCCAGTCCTGTCATAGTTCTAGGATCCCAGACTTGACTTTAAATTTAACTTTTTCTAAAGTAATTATTTATTCTTGTTCTACTTATGGTTTGCAACAGGAAGGAGAAAATATTTTCTATCTTGCTGTGGACGATATTGAAACAGACACAGAACTTCTGATTGGTTACTTGGACAGTGACATGGAAGAAGAGGAGGAGGATGAGGAGGAAGTAACTGTTATTCAGGAAGATGAAGACAGTGGCAACAATAAAGAAGTGCAACCAGCCAGTGAAAAGATTGCAGGTGAGCAATATGTGAAAACTAGTATAGCTTGGGAGCTTAAAATATAGTCATAGGTAGTGTAATATTGCAAGTTGGCTAATAAGATTAAAAATCTAAGAAGCCCTTGATAATAAATATTGAGTATAATACCACTATTAATACTAGTATGCAAGAAAGGAGGCAAGATGGTTTCAAAAATGTGCAAGGCTATAACTCTTAAGTATTCTTGTATTGAAGACTAGCTCAAAAAGTAAAGACAGGGTAAACGAGCTGAGATTTTACATAGCTGATTTGCTATAATCTGTATTCAGTTAACTAAGCATCTTCCTTTTGGAAGAAGAAAATCTTGTTAGGTAATGTAAATCTGTACAGATTTGGAGAGTTGAAAATAAGTGGTATCTGTGGCAGGAGGAGTTAAAAGCAGTGTCATTCATGATGCTGAGAAGTTGATGGGATATGATGACCCTGAATTTGCTTGTTAGAGGAAGGGCAGGTAGGTCTGTTGCGTACTGTGTCACATGAGTGTCATACTGAAAAGAGTATGGGCAAGCATTGTCCATCAGTGATTGATTCTGTCCTTTTGCAACTAACATCAGCTAAGATGCATTACATTATGCAAGTTCTCCTCTTAACACAGAACTAATATAGTGCAATTATTTCTTATGTCACTTTCACAGATGGCTTTGTAAGATGTCTTGTGCTAATTGTAAAACTTTCATAAACTTTTTAAATATTATGCTAACTGCAAGCTTGTCTTTTTAATATTTTGAATCAGTCTCACTTGGAACTTTGATGTAGTCATAGTATGCCAGGATTAGAAGTGATAATGTTTGTTCCAAGCTATATAAATTTGTATTCTGTATTTGCTCACAAAAATTATGGGAGAGGATGTGAGACAGTTCCCTGTAAGGAAAAGGTTGTTAATGTGAAGTCTTTTTGTTTTCTTTAAACAGAATTTGCTTAAAATAGATTTGTCTTGCATCCTGGTTCAAAGTGAATCTAGAATCACTAACTCAGAAAAGTATGTCTGCATTGTATCTAAGCAGTCTGCAGAGATGGTAGTCTCTGCCCCTCCTAGAGCCTGCATAACAGGAGAATCAACTTGTATTAGACCTTTATTTTGTAATATGAAGAAGTCTTTAAACAACTGCTGAAGTGAATAAGGGTGCACAGTTAAACCTGTGGTCAAAATCTTTACTGTTGTCAGATGCCTTAAGTAGGAAAGAGCATAATTTGCATAAGTATTAGCATTAAATGCCTATTCTTTTTTTTATTTTCTTTTTTTTTCTGGCATTTTGGTTTTTTAGTCCGTTGAAAGACATAGTCTCATGTGAATTTCATGACGCTGTTGTGCATAATCAGTTTCTATAAAGGAGTATCTCTTAACATAACCAAAATACTCTTGAAAGTATTACTGTTTTCTCCTCCAATCATTCAGATTCCCTCACTTGTAAAGAGGACCATGCATGCCCAAACTGTGAGTCCAGCTTTGCAAGCCAGGAGATTCTAGCTGAACATCTTCAGACATTGCACCAAAAACCCAGTGAGGAAAAGGAATTTAAGTGCCGAAACTGTGGAAAGAAGTTCCCTGTTAAACAAGCTCTACAAAGACAGTAAGTAGAAACAAGAATGTTTTTCAGAGTTCCTTTTCATTCAGTTGTTTATATCCTTTGGCTTAATCACAACAATTTTTATGCCTTTGTATTTGTATTCTCATTCTTCTAATAAATTCCTAATATGTTAGTTTCTTGTATTTGTTGAAGACTTCAATTTGAATAAAAAAATGTCACTACTTTTTAATATTTTCAAATCATATACTGTAAGCCCAATTAAAGCTACTGATTGGTGCAAAGCCCTTGATCTCCATCTTGAGTGGGTTATTTAATAGTGTAGGAGGTCTGTTATAGCTGGAATTGCCATTACTGAATTAGAATGAGATTTAGGAAAAAAAATGAACGATATTCTAAAAAGAAATAGAAAGGAAAAGCTATACTTTATTTTGATTTAATTAAATATTTGGATTAAAAAAAAACATAGAAGATAGCAGATAGGTAGTCTGACATGCTTTTATACAAAAATATAACCATTTTTTTTCTTTTCTTGTTTATGTATATAAATTTGCTTGCAATTAAATAGTTATATTACTTTTTATTATATATTCAATTATAGTAGTACATTGGATGTCCAAATATCTTGTTATAAGTAGTTCATTTAATCTAATTCATGTCAGAAAGAGACTCATATTGCATTGTGTATTACAAGACTTATGTCTGAATAGCAATAATGTTTGTTAAATTGGTAGTTCTTTATGAGCTCTATGTTCCTTCATGGAAATAGTTAAAAAAAACATAGTAGAGAAATATTTAAGTTATCTAATAGATATTTAAATATTTTTTTTAATTGAATATGGACATGTTTTGCCCAGTCTGAAGTGGGAGTTGGATTTGTATTGTATAGCTGGTTAAATAAATCTTTATATTATGCAGAGTAAAATTAAGAGTAAAAAAAGGATACAGCAATAGGACTACAACTCTTGATGTTCATGCATTTGATTAGTCTCCCTAAATTCCAGGATACCTCTCATGTTGCACTAGTTACTCACATACCAAAATGTTTGTATTTTGATCTATTGCTGCTTCAATTCTGTGTAAGTTGTAAAATGGTCCCCTTACTTTTATTTTATTTATTTTTTTTCTTTAGTGTACTTCAGTGCACAGAGAATATCAACCCAGGAGACTCTTCAAGAAGTTTTCAGTGTTCTGTTTGCAATACTTCCTTCAGCTCAGAATCGAGGTTTTGTGTCCAAGTTACTGGACTGCTGTCATACCATTGCTGGCCTTCCTTTGCATGTTAGCTTTCAAGCTTGTTAGTGTATGTGAATCCTAACAATGAAAGAAGTCAAATGCTTTCATTCTTATTTGCTGTAAGTAATGCATGAGGTGGCCTTGGAACTCTGCAGTGCAGCATGTCTAGAGCTCAGAGTATACTTACTATATGTCTAGTTTCTGCATATACTGCTTCATGTGTTGTTTTTATTTGCTGGTTATCCCATATAGTTATGAACAGCACAAGGAGGCATGCAGAGGGGATGCCAGATTCATATGCAAGGCAGATAGCTGCGGGAAGAGGTTCAAGAGTAAGGATGCCCTGAAAAAACATAAAGAAAATGTTCATAGTGGTAAGAAAGAATTTAATGTTTCTTTGGCAAAAACATAAAAACCAAAAAAGTTCTAACATGTTGCTAGCCTTAAATGTGCAAATCCAAGTCACCATTGTCTTTGGTTTCTTTTTTAATGGATTCATTTGTATCAAAAAGAAAATTAAGTAGTAACTAATTGCAAGGATAAAGTATTCCTTCTCACCCAGGGAGAAATTACTGTATACCAGATGAATCATTAGTTGCTGCAGGAAAAGTAAGGGAATCTGGGTAAGTTTGAATTAGACAAGTGTTAGATGAAGTGCAACATTTCAGTAGTGAGGAAAATCAAAATCAGTGGTACAAATGAGTACAGGAAGCTGTGAGTTCTTGATCTTTTGCTATTTTCAGGACACAATGGGATGTCTTTCTGGAAGACATGCTTCACAAATGGTTAGACTTGATGAGGATATTGCAGGAAATTCTATAGCCTCTGTTGTACAGGAAGCCAAATCAGGCAATCGGCTAGTCCCTCTAGGCCCTAGCTGTTTTATATCTGTGCAATGTGAATCAATACTTTTCAATCAAACACCAGTCTGTTTTCATGAAAGGGCAAAATGCTTCTTTCAGGTCCACAATGCAGATCTCAACTGTCACTCTGCTCTCTCTGCATGTCCCCTCTCAGTGTCACTGGCAGATCAGTATGTATGGGGACTGTAGAATACTACAGTGTGAAGAAAACAGTCTTTACTTGATGAGAACACTGAGGTGCTTTGTAAGATTTTCATTACATGAAGTCTCTTTCTTCTGCCAAACTCTTACAGTGTACGGAAGCCCTTCCATAACAATTTTTATAGAAGTTTATCTACTTTTTTTTTTAATTTATTGTTGTCAATAAGGTATTTTTTCAGCTGTGAATGTTATGTTTAGGCTCAACTTCGGTTAGTTATATACAGGTATACAAATCCCACAATTACTCTCTTGTATGATCAGTCCAGACATGACTGAGGTCAGGCGCCTGGAGGATATTTTATTTCCACCTATATAGTGAGCAGAGCTTTTATTTTACCATTTGGGAGTCATAGAAATCACAACTGGTGTCAATACAGGAGGGAAAATAGCCTACTATTGTTGAGGGAGATTTCTAGTATTCCTTCACGCCTTGCAAAACCTGGAGGCAAGGGAAAGTAGAAAGGACTGCTACATATGTAGTTCATTATGCAAAGCTATGAACAGAGACATAGATATTCATTATCACCTTCCTCTTCTGAATGCTCTTGTAAGTTAAGGTATTAAGTTCCCATATTTATATGTGCATCAGCATATGCCAATACTTAAATTTTACAATAGCAAATGTAGTTATGAGATGAAGTACTTATGTAATACTATGAGTCAAAGTGTTGAACTGATTGACATGGTATAATGAAGTGAGAAACATACCTTGTATTATGTTTTCACAGTCTGCTCACTATGCATAGGCAGCTTTGCTCATGATTATTTCTCTTTCAGTCCTCTGATCCATTGTGGTAGTATGACCTGAGCTAGGCATACTGAGTTTACACTCAAAGTCTTTGAAATCCTATATGTTCTTGAAGCCTGCTATTAGACTCTTTCATTTCTTTGTACAAATATTTGTTGGAAATAAAATTCTTTACTTGGAAATAAAACTGTGGGCAGCAAAATAGTTTAGCAATGAATAACATTCTACCCAAATTCCTCCATTAGCAGCAGGCTATGATATATCAAGATGAAATACATAACCTTTGTTTTCCAGTTTAGCTGCTTTAGTTTTAATCTTATCAATCATCAACAGTATGGAAACAATGAAGACTGAGACATGTTTTGCTAGTCTCAGAGGGCTTAGAAATGCTAATGTTTCTAGTTACAGCCCCCATGGGCCATTTGAGATTAGAAGTCATTTCAACATGTTTTAGCAAAATGTTGTGTGTGTATTTGCATTGAATTTTTAAAAAGTAGTTTTATTTTAATAACATAAATAATATGTCTTGTTATCAGTGTCATTTGAAAGTCTGTACTTTTGCATTAGAAATTACTTTTCCTGAAATGGTATGAAATGTTCTTTTTAAATTTGCAGTGTTTACATTCATGCACACTGTTGGCATCAATGGATGGAAAAAATGCCAGTTAGGAAGATATGTTATAGTTTCAGTTAGACAAAAGACCTTGTTTTCAACCTCTCATGTTAGTAAACAAAAGGAGCAATTTATCTGCTTGTATTGTATGCCAGCTAAGCGGATGTAGTTAACTATGACATCATTGTTCTTAAGTGAACCCAAGAAGAAGAGTTCCTTTATTCAGGGGCAATTCCTGCTGTCCTGGGTGATTTATTCTTTGGCCATTTCAGCAAAAATAAGTGATTTCCTTTTGGTTGCATTTGAAAGTAGAAATTTGGTGTATATATACTGCTCTGCAGCCACAGACTGCTGGTGTTCTTGCCTCATTTACTTAATACACAAAATTTTGAGTGCCCCACATGCATCTTGAGGTGAGGGATTTTTACTAACCATCTTTAATTGACTATTTTGTTTGTATGTAGGCTTTAATATATAGTCTAGAGCAGTACATGTGATCTTATAGAGCTGTTCTTTAGTACTAAAATAGATGGGGAGAGAGATTATAATTATTTATTAAAACTTACTACTTTGGAAGGGAAGATAAAAGTAAGGTGAAGCTTAATGTTTTCTTTCTGAAAATTCCTCCCAAGAAATAAAGTGGAAAAGCAAGTCATATCATATTAATTCTTTAGCACAGCAAGACTGGGAAAGATACACAATACCAAGAGTCTGAAAAGTAGAGCTGAAAACCATCAATGATTTTGATTAGGATCCAGTTCCTCTGTGCTTGAATAAACAATGCTTGCCTTTCTTTGGTTCTGAGTTCATTCTTTTTAGTGTTCAATGCAGTTTCAACATTTTTTCATATAAGCTGTGAAATATCTTGCATGAACGTATAATTATAAACAAATAATCAGGTTTGTGGTGTCTTTGCCTTGAAATAACATAACTTTGCAGGTTACTAATATAAATTTTAAATCATAGAGAAACCCAATTAAATGCTCTGTCAATTTTTAAAGCAACTGTGAAAAAGGAAGGAAAATGTATTTGGTAGCTGACCACTTGTAGTTTGAACTGTGATTTATATTACAAACTACACTTGAAATCATGATCTGGTTTAATACAAATTTCCTATCTTGTTCAGTTAAACACAATTAATGTATGTTATTTTATTCAGTAGCAATCTTAATGCTTTTTGAATAAAGAAAATTGGGAAACAGTTGTTTGGGATTTTTTTTTTTTTTTTAGTTTTTTTTGTCATTGTTGCACTAACTCCTTTCAGGAACACTTCTATTAAAATTATAGTATACAGTTCTTGAAGATATTAGTTGTATTGGCTTCTGGAAGGATACAGCTCTTCAGTTCTAAAGTGAAATGCTCTTAGGTGTGAATTGTGCTCTTCATTCTTCGTACTGATCTACATTCCTTTAGTAACTGACGAGTTGGACACCCACAGAGAACTCCTGATACTGAATACTTTCAAGATGGGGTACGAATGTAAAGATCTTATGTCAGTGAAATGACCCATGAAAAGTCACAAGCTCAGTAGAAATATTTAGGTTCTTTCTTAGCACTTCCTTTTTAAGATGTTGGTGGTATTTTGTTTCTGTTTCAGGAAATTCTAGGAAAAAGCTGACGTGTTCAGTGTGCAATAAGAAATGTTCCTCAACAACAAATCTCCAAGAGCATCGAAAGGTCAGTAAGATGAAGGCTAACCCACAGCAGGCTTTGACTTCCCTGAGATGTAATACTGTGGTGCTTAGGTCACTTAAAAGATGCTGTAATGCAAACCTTTGGCAAGTATCTGTCGTGGTTAGAAAATCAATGTGTTTTGTGGTGGGTATTTATTTTTGTAATCACAGTTGATTACATCAAAAGTCTTCCTAGTGTTGCAGTGCATCTTTTACCAAATACAAAAATGTTTGTGCTTGTATTTTCTGTGGTTTTCAACATAAAGTCAAGTGTGCATGCTGTTCTTTAACACTAAGCTAAATGTAAATGTGTTATATAACTTTATGATACACACAGGCCTTAAAATAGGCTTGTGAGCCTTCAGTTTTTTGTGCAAAGTGCATTCAGTCTTTCTTATTACCTTATTTGTAATTTAGTTATGAGGTAGTTTAAAAAAAAAAAAGTGCTTCCTCAAAAAAAAAAAACAAACATTGCAGTGGCTTTTTGTTTTGTGTATTACCAGATCAGGAAGAGTTAACAGTTTTAAAAGCTTCAATTGGAAATAAGGGGTTTCATACAGAAATGCAGATGGTCTAAGAATATGAGATTCTGAATCCATTATACCCAAAGGAAGTCCATGCAAGATTAATTTGATAAATCGCTAAAACCCAGGAGATCGTGTTTTTGCAAAAAGCTGCATTTTACTGTTTATCAGATTAACTGTAAGTCTTTAATAATGTCTTGGGTACAACCTGAGTCCATTGAGGATATAGGTTATATCAATTAAAATATTTTGTTGCACAGGAAATGATGGGGCCTCTCCTTTTTTTCTTTAATTTCTCTATTTATTTATTTACTTATTTTCCTTTTCCTGCTGCCCCCTTAATTGCGTTGATGTGCCTTGCATTTCTTGGCTAACAGAACTTCAATTTGTTCCTCCCCATACAAACTGTGATATGCCACGCCACTCATAATTACAGATTTTATATGTCATTGTGCCTTTTGATGGCCTCTGGGAATGTAAAATATCATGGGCAGTGTGTTCATTTTATGAAAAGGTTTACTTTGGTTCTGCATAGTGCAGGCACTAGGACACAAGCTTCTCTTTTAAGACATCCAGAAAATAGATATTACAGTTTCACACATTTGTATTACATAGTGAAGGAAACTGCATATAGGACTCATACCTTCTGTTGTTTGAACTACTTTGCTTTTGTATGAAGTATGTGTTATCGAAGATAGTTAGGTAAGAAAACAATAATTGAAATGGAGAGGAAACACTTTTTTCACCCAATTTCCTCTCAATATAGAGAAATAAAAATAGGAAGGAGGTAAAATATAACAGAAAATGAGTCTGAACCACTGATAGTTCTGACCGTCACAGAGAAAGAAGATAAAAAGTATGACTGGAGGGGAGAGTGAGATCAATTCACTCTGTGAAGGCTTGGTCAGTCACTTCTGTAGCTTTCATGTCATTGTTGATTTAAACTTATTTTAGCTTTGTGTGATTGCCCATTTGTTTGTGCCTTAAATGTCTAAAGATAAGACCTTTCTTAGCCATTCACAATTAAACTCTGGTGTCATGTTCAGTCCCTTAGTCTTACCGTTTTGTTTTCCAGACTGTTGCTTGTGCCACACTAATCTTTGGTGGCATCACTTTTTTCTTTTTTCTTTTTTCTTTTTTCTTTTTTTTTTTTTTTTAATCACAATGCATTCAATGAAATGTCAGGCTGAAAGAGATCCTAGAAAGTTTTTGTACCCTTTCTGCTCTGATGAAAAATTTACCACATCTGTTGGTATCTTTTTAAATTCTGTCTCGCAACTTAGGTGCCATGAACTTTCTTGAAATGTGTCAAGTGTTTGGTTTCTTTCTTTCTTTTTTTTTTTTTTCAGATAACTTTCTTAAATCTTCTTTGACAAAAATTGATTTAATAACTCTCTTTATCTCAGAGAATGCCAAGAAAAACTCAACACTGTCATCTTTGTAACAGATTAGCATACTGTAAAATTCTTATGAACACCGTTTGTCTTTCCTGACAATTCCACAATTTCCTGACAATTTCCACAATTATCTGAACCTTTATTCATGCATCTGTTCTCCTGAACTATTTAGTTTTTGTAAGTATTTTCATCTTCTGCCCAAGGATGCCACAAAGGACTTGTGATGCTTAGTTGAGCCCTTACAATTCCAGGTAGAGGGGAATGATTATCTTGAGATCATCCCTACTAAGAACATGTCCATTAATACATCTCAAAATGGCAGTGCTTTTTGAACAGCAGATTCAAACTGTTTTTTCATTTTTTGGGGGGAATTAATTATTATTCTCTTTAAGGTGCTAGGTAAACTCATTATTGTATGGCTTTCATTTCTTTGACTTCTCCACCCAAACATTTGAGTGTATTACAGCTTCATTCAGAGCGTAGAAATAGTTTTGGACTCTTACCTTGAATTAGTGGTTGCTGTCCTACCCAGAACAGTCTCATATCATGTTTTTACTTCATATATGTTTTCCAAAACTACGTATGCTACTACAGCACTCATCCTGCATGGTGCTTGCAAATCTTTAACAACACTTATTATATCGATCCACCAATATTACTGCTTGTTGAGGTCATCCTTATCTTCTTATTTTCTTATTTTCCTTTTTGTCTATATCTACTTGTTTTCTTTTTGTATTGTCCTCCAATTGAAAAGTAGTGACCTTCTACCTGATATTTATTTTAGTCCATGATTTGGACTGCTAAATTACATAATAATGTTAAAAAAAAAAAAAAAAAAAAAAAAGAATCCCAGCAACATTTGACTCAGCAAATGTACTACAGGAACTTACAGTACACTGAGTAATGGAAGTGTTATAAAACACTATGTGAGATACAGGATTATACTTGACTGCTAAGACTTGTTGTCTTGTTGTTGGTGTAGTGTCTTGGAGATAAATTGAGAGAAACAAGGAAAAGCCACTAGTTTTGTTCTAAGAGATTATATGAAAAAAAAATACACCAAACCTTGACTCCTTCTTACCTTAGTGCTCTTTCTGTCTTACAGAGAGGGATTTCCTGCAAAAGTGTGCCAGGGAAAGTTGCATCTAAACATTCTCTGTGATTTTCATGCCTGTTTTTCTGTCTTTCTTCACCTGGCAGTTTCATATGTCTCCCATTATTTTTTCTATCCTTTTTCATTTGAACACCAGCCAACACACTGTTTTTACTGTGCAGTCTTTGTCGTGATCACTATAAAGTCACAGAAATGTAGTGAAAATCAAATGTCAAACACTATTTTAAAAATGTTGAATCGTGGAGTAATTTCAGTTGAATGCAATACGCTGGTATCTTTTGCTCTTTTAAAACTCTGTTTTCCAGTGCAGAGTCTTATCCAGTTCTTGGATTGGTAGACTGAAATTCAGATTAGTTTTTGGAAATGTTTATCATGGGTGACTTGTACCTTGAAAGTTTTACTTCATTTGCTTCCCCAAAGCTGCTTTGAATAACCTTTTGCTTTTCAGTTACCTTGTGAAAAGTTTAAGGTTGTTGGTCTTGTTAATGAAGGCATATATTTTTCTGAATAAACATTAATTTTGTTCACATGCTTGCTAGTTCCTGTAGCACCTAGCAAGCTGTTGTCTGAAGAGGAAGCTCTTCAAAGCTATGTGAAACGATTTGTAAGGATGTTCTGACTGTAATTAAACTGATGTTTACGGTGATAGCTGTTACAGTCCCCTAATGGGAGTAATTTTGTTATACTAATAAATCTTTGTGCAATCACTTGTCTATAATATTACAGGCTGACTGAATTTGCATAGTGTACTCACAAATACTTTACTTCACAAGTTTTCTTAATGAAAATTTGGTTGAACATTTTTATTCATAACAATATTTGCTGTATTTATATTTATATTATCTTTTACTGTTTTACTATGAATTTGAGTAGTTTTCTAAATAATTGATTGAAGAGTGACAGCTATAGATATATGCTTGATAACTGCAGCTATTTAATGCATATGCACATCAGACTGTGCCTGATTTCTGAAGAATTGATTAGAGTACTAGCTATAGAATATATATTTGATAGCTGTAGCTTTTTAAAGTGTGCACACAAGCCTCTGTCTGAACACAGATATGTTCAGTGCGGCTATTTATAAAACTGGTCATAAATTAAAATCAGACAGCACAACCTTAGGTTCTGATGTGTTAAATAATAGATTTTAAGGTGCCTTACAAGTCGTTTTGAATAGCACCAAAACATTGCTGTGCTATTAACACTTGCTAAGCTGAAACCAGGAGACTCTAGCAGAATTCTGATAGTACTTGGTTGCAGAGTTAGTGTAAGCTTCAGTCAACAATCTGAGTCAAAATTGAGATAATTTTGGAAAAGGTAGAATAGTGGACTGTATATATCAACCTGTGATGCAGGTGGGTAGACAGGGTATTTCAAATGACTCATTGTTATTTGAGTTTACCGCCTGGTTCTGGATAAGTATTTGGTTGAACATCGCTGTCCAAGGTATGCAAGTTTGTAGAGATTGTAGGAAACAGCACAACTACTTGTTAGAGCAAATTTTTTAATAAGCTAATGTTATGTTAGCATAGAACACAAGAGGTTCTTATGGAGAATTTCGTTGTTTTTTTGTTTGTTTTTTTTCCTATGTTTGTTTTAAGTGGAAGTCATTACTGTGCTGTCTGAACTGTGCTGATGTTTTTTTCCTTCAAATGTTGTGTTGAAGCTTTAATGTTTGTTATTTTTAGCTGCTAGATTCTTCTACAGAAAGTTTAGAGATCTTCAAAAGTGCTTCATGAAATGTGATCTCTGCCTGGAAGTTTTGCTGTCTAAGGCTGCAGTTGTGAAAAGCTGAAATGAATGTTCAGCTGCACTGTGACTAGGTTAAGATGAGGCTGCTGAAAGGAAGTGTAGCGCAGAGGGGAGAGTGAATTGTCATCTGAATAGTTGGAGAACTGGTGTATATCTTGTGATTTTGATAAACAAAAGCACAGGTTTAATTTTTATGTAGTTGACTATCAGAGATTGCAGCTCTCAACTGCAACTTCTACCTTTTTTTCCAGCATGTAGTCCTTGATGACAGTATGTGCTGTGATGTTGAAATCCTGCTCAGGCTTACTATATTTACAACTTAAGAACTACTGCTGCCCCTCCACTGTCTTGCTCTTAAAGCTCTTAAGACAAACAGTATCACCTTTTGCCTCAACTTGGAAGAGACTTTGGTGTTGTAAAGAGTGCTGCAGGAGTTGCCTCAGCTCCCCCAGATTAAATAAGAAAGAGAGTAAAATAATTTATTTTGCCCGTGTGATTACTTTAGTTTTTGTTTGTTTGTTTTGTTTTTGTTTTTCCTTAAAGAGCTTGATTTTTGCCATGTTCTTGAGCAGACAGCACATATTGCCAACAAAAAGGGTAGATGATTGCTAGCTATGTCTGTGTATATCTTTTGTGCAAGCATTATGTGTACATGTTATGGAAGTGGAAATGCACTGTGCTGAGTGAATCTAAGAACTGTTAAATTCTCAACAGAAGTGTTTCTAAGCGATTTGATGAAGTGCAGTCATTTTTAAACCACACCTGTATTTAATCAGATTACAAGTAGAGATAAGTCCTAATAGAGTTTGATTGTACTGGTATTTTAAAACTATTATGGTAGTTAGTAAGTAGTTATTGTGTTATTTTTACTTATGTTTAGTTCATTACAAGGAAATATTCTGAAAAGATATTCTGCATCTGTTGTTTTATTCTTTCACATTAATGATATTTTAAATGGATCCAATATTGTGATTTTGCATAGTCTTTGTTTCTGAATATTGTTTCAGGGATTTTTTTGTTCCTAGTTCTGAATATTAATTTTGAGATATTTTGTTCCTTAGGGGACTAACAAGGGGAAAATCACAGAATATCCCCGCGTATTAGTGTAACTAGTGAATTAGAAATAGTCACAGTCTGTTGGAGAACTTAGATGTATGTAAGATATGTGATCTTGTTTGAGACAGGTATTTAATTATCATTAAACACTCATTTTGCAGGTTCATGAGACCTTTGAGTGTCAGGAATGTGACAAGAGATTTATTTCAGCTAACCAGCTAAAACGCCATATGATAACTCATTCAGGTAACATGTTAAAATGACACAAACCTATGTATGTGTGGGTGATATATTTAGCATATATTCAGTTTTACATTAATCACATAGAAATAGAATGTTTGGCGTATTCTATGTTGTCCTGGGCTGTTCAAGCAAATCTCATGTTCCAAGGAAAACATCTAAGTTATTGTTTGTAAGCCTTTCAAAATTCCAAGTGTAATGCTGTATACGTTCTTCTATTGCTGCTTTGTCAAGATTCTATTTCGTGCTATCTGGGGTACGTGATTTCAGCTACCTGGGATGGGGAAAAAGATTGTTGCTTGGCGTATAGAGGCTGTGAAGAACTGCTGAGTGGGATTTTATGTTAAAAAAAAAAAAGAGGATGGGAGCTGGGTTATGCTGTCAGCCAGAGATCTGTGATAAAAGGACAGATATGTGTATATATATATGTGGGCTCACGTGCACAGAATTATCATTCAGAAGAAAATGTATCATTCCCCACACCATTTCGTAGATGACACAAGTACCTCATTATGCCTGTCCTCCTCTGCCAGAACAGATCACTGTGAGCAGGGAATTCCCTGTCCATAAGCTTGGCAGCAGGACACAAACTGGCTCTGCCAGAATTTCTGATCACTGCAAATCTAGTGTTTCTATTTCTTTCATCAGTGGTTAGAAACATCAGCCGACACAACGGAAACACAGGCATTGTTGTCTCATACATTGACATTTAAAAACGCAGGTTTTTGCAACTGCACAGGCTTGTAAATAAATATATATTTTTTTGTATCAGTCCACACCAAAAGTTCATTTCTAATAACGTAATCTATATTTCAGGGCTCTTAGCTTGCTTTTGACACTTTTGGATGAGTGTTAATGTAGTTAAGTTGCAGTCACCAGTTGAAACACAAAGGCTTTTTGCATAGCAACTTTTAGTTTTGGAAGCTAATATGTATATTGTTAATTAAGTTTTAAAACATTTAAAAACTGTCATGCCCTCCTTCACATTTCTAATCTGGAAACAGTGTTTTCCTCTTTGAAGTCATTCTCTTTTGATTTAAGCTAATTAATCAGAATTTAGTTTTAGCAATGATTATTGCAAAGAATGTGCCAATTTCTTTAGATACACCATGGCTCATCTTTTGTGAAGTGACTTAACTGTCTAACATAAAGGGCATTAGATGTCTTTCTAATTGGTTTAATCTTAATTGGGTTGACTTAATTGCAGAAATCTCTCTGAGGAGATGACTGTCTCTGCCTTTCATCTTCTCCCCCTGTATAAACAGGAGATTAAATGTCCCCCACTCATTTTCTGCAGAAAAACGCCCCTACACCTGCGAGGTTTGCAATAAGTCCTTCAAACGACTTGATCAAGTGACTGCACACAAAATAATACACAGTGAAGATAAACCTTATAAATGCAAGCTTTGTGGAAAGGGATTTGCCCACAGAAATGTTTACAAGAATCACAAGAAGGTAAAGCACTCTGCTGTTGTTGTTTACAGATCTGCCAGCCTCAGATTTGCAGATTTTTTTCTTTTAAAATGTTGATCATTAAGCTCTGGCATGCTTATAAACATGGGAGTAAAGTATTGAAAAATGTGTATATATATATATATATATATATATATATATATATTCTAGTGAATGTTGTTATAACCAAAATCTCAAGATAAGATATGAGTTCCAGATAAAGCAAAACAAGCAAACAAAAAAAGGGAAATTAGAGGGAAATCACAGTTGCTTGGTTAAAAGCATTAAATACTTTTCCATTTTGACTTTCCCAGTTTTTTTTTTTTTTACATTAAGATATCAAATTAAATTTTTATCTGATCTAAAATGTCTTCAATTTTAAATTAAAGAAAAAAAAGATAGTATTTGAATAAAACAAATTTTAGTCTTGTTGTAGTTATTCCTCACTGTTGGACTATTTGACCAAATTTTCATAGTGCCTGCCATTAATTTTAACTTGAACTTACGTTTTTAATGGCAAGTCTGTATCCATGACTGCTGTTTCAGAATTAATAGACAGAAAAAAACCCTCTAGTTTTATGCCAAGTATTTGGCACTATTTTTATTTTTATATTTTTTATACTCCCACTTTTTTTTACCCCTCTTGCTGAAACTGATATACCCTTACTTAGAAGTCTTTTTCAGTTTGGCTCATGTTGTATTCCATCTGGGATTTTGGCACAGGATCTTTACACCATCTTTTGCACTTTCAGCCATAAATCATGTAAGAATAATAATAATAATGCCTCTCATAGGGTGAAATGGTGATGATGGTCTAAAAGAGAAAGCATGGAGAAATCTGCTGAAAGACAAGATTAGCTCCCATATATGCCATGGTATATGCTATCTTGTTTTAGAGTTATTAATAAAATGTGGCAGAATCTCACAAATTGGATATGTTCTAAGGAAATACATAGAATATTATCTGGAAAGATAGTGCTATATCTTCAATGAATACTTGTAACATATTTCCTTAGGTTAATTTGCAGTTGATGACTGATACAGAATTTTGGCTGAGAACAGACTTCAGGCTTAAGTATGAATAATGAGCAAACATTTTGACCCAGTTCAGTATTCAAAACAGCTTCACCACTAATATAAGCAAGGACTGCATACGAGAATGTTGCAGAATTGGTTCTTGTGTCTGACAAGGATTAGAGGCTTCACTTAATGGAAGAAATAGTAAAATTTATACAAATGTAGCGAGTACCCAATTTTGACAGAATTCTTCAAAGCATGTTGGAATACTTATTTCCTGAACCTATCTGCCCATGGTACTGGCTGTGAATCAACCCTGAAAGAAACTTTTACCTGCGTTTATATACCCAAACAGCTGTGCATATTCACCCATCCACAATTAGTTCTTTGATTGTGCTTGCTGAACAAAGAGATGAGCCTGAGAGATGGGAGATGGATGTAGATTTCCTGAAATGCTTTTCTGAAACGCCTATCTCTACACTCAGTATCAAGATTTTAAAGATATCAACTAGCATAACTAGGCACCTAGATTTGGGCTAATCTGGCTCTCCCGTTTTCAGTCCCCTGATTACCTTTAACAAAGTAATCAAGGAGAGATAGTAGATAATGGAGGACATTATGTATATATATTTATATAGAAAAAAAAAATATGTATATACACAAATAAAGCTTAAGGTGCAAGTCAAGTATGTGGAGTTTGAGATGCAAAAACAGTTTAAAGTGCCGTGATTTTGGGAGGGCTATGCTACTGCAAGGGGTAGAGAACAAGAGTTCTGTTGCTTGGTCACAGATAAGTCGAATGAGTAAGAGCAGAAATTTAATTCTTTATTGATTATCTTTCTTCCATGTATTTCTGCTACTCAGGTTTTTAATGAATCTTTAGATGTGTATTCCTTTAAGCCCACACTCTGTGGTTTTTTTTTCTTTTGGAGGAAGAAAAAATCAGACTGAATAATTAGACTACTTTCAGAATACAGTGACTGGGCTGGTAACAGGGAACTTTGCAGTAGGAATGGTGGGTATTGTAGTTAAAAACAGTTAAATCAACAATGTTTGACAGAAGACAAATTTTCAAGTTTGATAGCATCACACTTGTAAGATCTCTTAAGATATTACATTGTTTTTTAAATTTTATTCATAATAAGAAACAGGATATGCATTTTGTACCTTTGAATTCTTGTTATTTGAGATGGAAACTTGTTGCTGTTGTTTGCTACTCCTTTATGGAAGCTAATTTGATTTTTTTTTTTACTTTGAAAGTATCAGAATCAAAATGAAATTTGGCTCTCACAACATGTATTTTTAAATCTCTCTTAAAGTGCAGAGGAGATTAGGTCCTTGCATTTCACAGGATCTTGCTGGAGGATAGACAGTGGGTTAGCTATGAGAGCATCTACTCTTTCAGTAGAGCACTGAAATGTAAACCCTAACTTGGTACTCATTGCAGCCTTGCAGGTGTGGATCTGAGAGGCAGGAACTGTTATTGCCTTTGTGGTAGTTCTCCGGTGTACTGCTGCTGCAGACAAGTACTACACTGCTCAGTGTAGGTGCATGTGCAAGTTTGCTTTGTCACTTGCTTGAAGATGTCAGTGCTGAGAATTGTTATGCAGGATGAAACTAGTTCAGATGTATTTTGAAAAAGCTCAGACTAAATGTCTGAGTGAACATGAGAAGAAAATTATTTCATTTTTTTCTGGAAATAATAGTATAAATAGCATTATAAAATAATAGCTGAAATTAGGAGATGGGCATTGTGTTACAGATAGAGTCATTTTTCATCCAGGTCAGGCTGAATGAAGGTACATCTTCTATGCCATATAATTCAGGTTACTTCTGTACAGGACAATGCTAAGTTCTTCTTCCATCTGCTCCTTTGCTATGTATAGAGAATGAATTCAGAGAATAAAATATGAGCTATGACAGTGAGAAGTATGTCACCAGACACGGGATTTTAAAGGGTTTACTGTTAATCCAAGGTTATTTGGTCTTGGAGTGCATGATGAATTGAAACAATTGCACTCCCTCATCTTCTCTATTGGGAATGGGTAGCCTTGGGCTGGGTTTAAACTTTTACAGATGCTATTATAGAAAAGGCTGCCATGAGATATTCCATAACAACCCATTCATAGTTACTTCGATCATACAACTGTCCAAAAAGTGCACATGACCTCTTAGTTTAGTACAGTTTCTCATAATAGATGTCAGTGTCTGCACTGTTTCCGAGTGAGCATAATCCAGCAACTACAATTTCTATACCTTTCAAAATACTGTAATCACTGTCCAAGAGAAAACAAGGAAATTTAAAAACAAATCATTACTCTATTTTCAAGTATTTAAGTGGAATTCAAAAATTATGTTTTTCTTCTGCCTAATGAATATTCAAGTAGAGGGAAATGTGTAAATTAATGTTGGTGTTTTTTTTGGCTTTATACTGTTATTCATAGTCCTGCTGGTATTTTAACAGTGAAAAGATTTATTCAACAATTTGGACCTGCTCTAAAGGAGATACATCAATTTTTGTTTTGTGCTTTATTTTCCTTTCCCCAGCTTGATCGAAAGGTCTGATGAAATAGTAGCAGAAGATAATGGTATTTTTGTGGTGTAGATATAATCTTTCCCATCACATTATGATTATAAAGAGTTGCAGTACTGCATCCAAACATTTAATTCATTTCAAGACTCAGCTTGCTACTGATTTACAGTAAAAGCTTTAGACAGTTTTGAAAACTGTCTAAAGTTGGTTTTCAGTTGTAGAACATCAAGTTACTGAAACTAAGTGCAATATTGGCAATATGTACTGCTTATATTCCGCTCTGAATCAGGTCATAAAATGAGAGTTCAACTCAGATTGTTTAGTATGACCACCTTCCTTTATGAATTCTGATGCTGTAGACTTTAGCAAATCTTATTTGAGTAGAAGACCATTCTAGAATACTTCTTGTATGAGAACGTCTTTTTTGTATTCAAAGCCAGATCATTCTACTGCATTTTACAAGCTGCTGGTCGGGCCCTTTTCTGAAAATAAAATCACATATATAATTGTAGAAGTGTGGACTAGTCTATTGCTCTGTATTGCTATGTACGTATTAATTATGTAGCTTAAACCCAAGCTAATCTGTGTGTGCACTGTATGCCTGCTTCCCAGATATATACATATCCTATTATATTAAAAAATTAATTGTATATATTTAGTGTATGATGACTCTTCAAGCAGCTTTTAGTGAAATTGTTAGCTGTATTTTGAGATCTAATGTAAGCTTGACAAGTATACTTAGCCCACCTTGTTTCTAAAGTTGCATAACTGAATGAAGAGTGAAGAGCTGTGGTGCTACGTATCTCAAGATTTGCCTTGAACATGGAATCATAGAATATCTTGAGTTGGAAGGGAACTATGCAAGGATCATCGAGTCTAAGTCCTGGCTCCTGAATTTTTCCCACCATACTCTTAGTGGAAGCCATCTCTTTTCTGGAACCTGTCAGTAGGAAAAAGGTGGACAGTATCAGAATTAATATGCTTGTTTGCTGATATACCTCTGCTCATTACCATTTTCATTGCTTTTTGTGATATATGTAGCTTGTTTCTGGACTGGTCACAAATAGAGCAAATGAGTTTCACCTTGTTTGTGGGTATGACTAGTTAAACATTTGTAGTGAAGTTCAGAAATACGGATGAATTCTTTTATTTTGGTCAAAAGACTAGAACTGGCAAGAGAATGCTAAGAATTTATATACAAATGACTGCACTCTTCAGAACTATCACTCAAGTGGTGAGTGTTCTAAAATAGGGCATTTTTTAAGTAAATGACATGAACTTTGCGCTCGTGAAAGGTGCCAGATTGACAGCCCTAGAGACTGAACCCTTCTATTTATCCACAGAACAGGTACAGCACAGACATCAGCACTGCGAGCTTCCCCACAGTGTCTCGTCAATATGTCTCAACCCTGTTCTGGAGGAACCACCTGTTGAGGTGAGAAGGTAGTTCAGTCTCTTCATGTCCTGTCAATCCTTGGTCTGACCGCTGAGACTGCCAATCAGGGTATCAACTAATGCAGATTGTGATGTAAACCTCCAAAAGCTGGACTGAAACTTTCAGCATATTTTTTATAATGCATAATATATTCCACACGTTTGACAGTGCTCCACTTGATTTTTTGTTTTAAGTAACGTCGACTGGACTCAAGTAATTTACTTCGAGTCTAAAACCTCTGTATAACATTGCAAGTACTCTAATGTTTTTCTACTGCTGTTTATGTGAGAGGACATTTGTGTTAAAATCAGTCTGAGTTTGAGGCCAGGAGTCTACTTCTAAATATTTGTGCTGGCTTCTCATAGTCCTTTTTTCTCCTTATTTTGAAGGATATCTCCATATGTCTTATGGTATTACGAATTTTTCTGCCATAAGCAGAAATGTATAATATACATATGTATTACATCAATATTTACTCTTAACCTACAAAATGAATTTGTTTAATATCATGCGTATTATAAAACACTGTCCATCCCCATTTGCCTTTGGCACTATAGTTGCCCCTCAAGGTTCTTGTTAGCTAAAACAATGTTCAGACATGGATGCTTTAAAAACATTATTCCCTTAAAGAAAAATTGTAGGAAATTAAGTAGATAAGAGATTGTACAGATGAATTTACTATCTGAACTTACTATGGGGATAGAACCAGGGAAATAAGGAGTGGAAAAGGAAAATTTACAACAGTAGGTTGAAGCTGGATGTTTCCCAAGCTCCAGAAAAGAAATGTGCTTCAGCAACTCTGCTGTTTGTGAGATTCATCCAATCTTAGCCTTTTCTTTTATTTATGGCTTTGAAGGCTCTTTCTACTTATCTCTTTTTGAAGTCTATTGATGCTGTTTCTTAGCTATGGTATATTTTTGCTACAGCAAACAAAAATCAATTCTGATGCTTCTGTGCACTTTTTATTTCTTTTTAAACATGAAGCTGAAATAAAGATAAGCAAGAGTAGTCATATGATTTAAGAAATTTTTGCTAAATTTTAGACTACTGTCCTGAGATAGATCAGTTCTACTGTTAAGTGAAAAAAATGCAGGGTTTTGTGTACATATATTTTTATATGTTTTTTCACGTTAGAAAATATTTAAGGTCAATATTAGTTCTGATACAGAAATGAAACTGAACTTTAAAGTTTTCCTTCTGGTTATTCCTTAATTTTATTTCTATTTACATACAACATTTCTGAGGTGGTACATTAATTCAGAGGCAGCTTTGCTGGCTTTTAGGGTTCAGAATAATGGCATAAAGATTGTTTTAATTTTCTGTCCCCTGATATTTCAAATTGTTAATATATCCCCCTCCTGAATTCAGTTTGGAAAATTAAGTATAATTACTGTAATGACTGCTAATTGATTTCTCTGAGCCTTTCTTCTGACATGTTGTCTTTCATCTGCAGACCCATTCTGAAGAGAGACCATTCCAGTGTGAGGAATGCAAAGCTTTGTTCCGAACTCCATTCTCTCTACAAAGACATCTACTAATTCATAACAGTAAGTGCTAAGTCACAGAGGAAAAAGAGCAGTTCTCTTGTCTGACAGAGGAAAAAATAGACCCCTAGCACCTTGTTCCAATACACAACTTGCTATATTAAATGAGACTTAAAATTCAACTCTATTCAGTAGGAATTAGAAAATTCAGAGCAAATTCAAACCTTGCCTTTGAATGCACTTAAATGCAAATACAAATGCACTGTGGAAAATTGACTGTGGTTTGAGATCTGATTATAAGATTTTCTTCTGCATTAACTATGTTAGTATCCTTCATTTTAAGAAATGGAAATTGGGAACAAATATAAGTAGGTGTCTTACTCAGCTTTTGTAGGTGATCCATTTCAGAGCTGGAAACTGAAATTGTCTCTCCTGTGCCAGTCCCGACTTCACTATATGCTAGTGTTGCCTGCCAATAGTGTAGAATTAGCAGCCCAGAAAAAATTCTGTGGCCATTTTCCATTTTGACTAATGTGTTCATGGCATTCTGTACTGTACTGTTGTGTGCAGATTTATTTTTTGTGGAATTTTCTCAATATTTACAGAGCTCTGAATGACCATTCAGCCATGTTAGCGTTAGTAATTGAAATAAAAAAAAAATATTACTGATCTAAAATCCTGGTAGCATAGAAGACAGTGCTTTGATTTGAGGAATATTTACATTGGTTGAATTAAAAAAAAATAAACTTACATTTTTTGATCCAGTAGAACTTTAATTCTAGAATTAAAGAAGAATTGAGAGAGAGAGAGAGAGAGAGAGAGAGAGAGACTGAGAGAGAAAGAGAACCATCTCCTGCAATAATTGGAGGAAGACACCAGTGCCAAGTATAGGGGGAGGATGACTTCCCTAGTCCTGCTCACCACACCATTTCTGATACAAGCCAGGATGCCATTGGCCTTCTTGGCCACGTGGGCACACTGCTGGCTCATACTCAGCCGACTGTCCACCAAGGTCCATTTCTATCAGGCAGCTTTCCAGCCACTCCTCCCCAAGCCCATAGGGTTGCCTGGTGTTGTTGTGGCCAAAATGCAGGACAAGACATTTGGCCTTATTGAAACTCATTTGGTTTACTTTGGCCCATCGCTATCTAGGCTCTTCTGTAATGCCTTTCTACCCTCTGGCAGATAAGACGTAATTTCCTTTAATGGAAATTACTTCGATATTTTCTTTTGTTAAAGCACTAAAAAATTTAATGTTATTTAGTAAAAATAGTAATGACTTCACTTCGTTTGCAAAGTAGTTTCATATTTCCAAGACGAGAACTGAAGAGGTTCGCTAGAAACTTAGAAGTGTTAATCCTCCACATAGCAGCATATTAAATTGTATCTCTGTTGACCTTAAAAATTTTTCTGGATTGCTAGACTGCAAGTACTTTAGGGCGAGACAACTTATTCTAGCATCTTTTAGCATATTTCAGTGTCATCAAAGACAAAACAGCTTTTGTTACCAAAGAGAAAGGGAGTAAGTGTTTTGAGAGTTGGAGAGAAGAGGGCAATTTTGGCTGATTTATAGTGGACAGAAATAATTTTTCTAGGCTTTATAATGTCTGTGGGTATTTGTTGCACCACTGTGTTGGTAAGCCTTACTTATGGGTATTACATCTATAAATTGTGATAAAGAAATAATGGTTTTGAGTGCCTCAACATGCAGCATCAGATGGGCTTTAATATGCAGCATACTGATATCAATTTGCATTCATTTTGGACTAGAACTGTGATTATTTTAGGATTTGTGGATCTGTATCAAGAAAATAAGTTATCTTTCTCCGTATATCATTGCTACTGGAAAAATTAGTTAATGCATATGCAAGTCTGTGTCTTACTCAGATCTGGAGGCTGCAACTCAGAGCTCTGTCTTGAAAAGTAAGAAGTGAGCAACAGCCCTGAGATTATGGTAGTCTTTTTTTTTTTTTTTTTTTTGTATTAGAATTGCTGCCTGGCAATTTTTTTGGGATATAAAAAGCCAATTTCAAGTTTAGACTGTTACTCTGGTTATAACCCTAAGCACATTGATTTCTGAATGTGTGCCATATTGCAGATAATTTAGTCTTTAATTCTTTAATTCTTCCTTTCTCAGAAGTATTTAATTTAATTTAAAAAGTAATATTAACTTTCTGTCATAATCTTAACCTTATAGTTTGAACAGTAACATGGCTATAGCATTTTTCATCTTTTTTATGTATGTTTTTTTAAATTGACATGAATGAGAAGCAAGTATTTCTTATTTTGAGAATTCCACTGTATTCAAAAAGATCTTTCTTACCATTTAAGTTTCAAATGAAGTCTATTACTCCTTTATTTTTTTCATACTGTTTATTACTGGAGGTGCTGGAGAATAAAACCATGTTCCTTTTCACTCGTAGCCATTTCATCCTTAGCTATACTTAATCTCACATTTCTGGCTATCTTATTGTCAGAGCTACTTTCTACTTTCTTAATTTCCCTATGGTATTTTTACCTGATTTGAGATTATCTTTCCGTTCTCAGGATGTAGCTCTTCAATTCCATTAATTTTATGAAATGATAAGCATTAATGTACTTACACAGAAAGCTAGTATGTTCAAACCTGATTTTCTTCTTCATAAGGTGAGAGGACCTTCAAGTGTGATCACTGTGATGCTACTTTCAAAAGAAAGGACACCTTAAATGTTCATATTCAAGTTGTACATGATGGACATAAGAAATACAAGTGCGATCTCTGTGACAAAGCTTTTGTGACACCTTCAGTCCTGAAAAGTCATAAAAAAGTGAGTAAAATCAATTATTTCATACTTATTCCTTCCATGGCCTTAAGTGTAATGGAGTAACTAGTACGTTATTTTCAGTGCAAGATTAAGACAAATACTATGCATTATTCCACCAATCTGTTTTCAGAATTGAGGGTAAAATGTAGAGGAGTCTTGACTTGCCTCTCCAACTTTACCATGTCTTATAGATGTGGGAACTAATGCTTATCTTTGTATAAATCTTCCTTCAACTGCAGCAATAACATGTACCATGTGAAAGAAGGGTTTTATAATCTAATGAAGAACTTTGTATCAGTTCCTTTTGTTAAATAAAAAAATATGTATATATATTCTTTCTATGAGAAGGTCATTAAAAACCCTCTAAAAAGCTGTCATGACTATAAGGAGAAATTATTCAATAGGCTGATAAATCTTCAATTTAGAATTGGGAAGTATTGCATAAAAAGTAAGGAGAATCTTTGCATATAACTTACTTGAAGGTGGTCTTGCTTTTGACTGTAGAAAGTGGATGGGAGAATTTGAAATAATTCTTTTTATAAAAGGTAGTTTAGCCCTAAAAGGTTGATTTGAAAAGACAGGCTCAGTTTATGAGCTTTTTTATTAGCTTATTTAGTGACAAGCACAATATCCTTCTTATGATTAGTTCTGTAAATACAATCTGATTCTAGCATTTATTATAAACCAGACAGGATCCAATATGCAATGTGTATTGACTGAAATCAGTGAGAACTTGCACTTTGGAGCATTGCTGTCTATCATGTTTCAGATGAACTGATGTCTGTGATTCATTCGTATGAAAGTGTCACAAATCATTTACACAAATCTCCATAGAGACTTTTTGAAGCTCCTGTTCAGGTTGTCAGTGGAAAAAGCTGTACTACATTTGGCAAAACTCTGCACTACGTTTAATAATGAAGTAAAATTCAGAGAAATTACAAGCTTTTAAAAATAGTCCCATTTCAGTTAATTTTATTTAGGTGATCAAGTTTCTGTTTTCTAGTTTATAAACTGCTATCAGAGAAATTAATCTGAAAAATGGGTTTATTATTATTTTAATGATGAAAATATACGAGGATGAATTAGAAATTTGTTATAACTATTGAGGAAATTGTAAACTTATGAACTATGAAAACATTTTTTATATATTAATAATGAGATTAGTTTAGAAATTTAAGGAGAAAATAAAAAGAACATTTTAATTTCTTTAAATCTCTATCTGATATGATGGAATGACATGACTAATGGTTGTTGGAGAGAATAGTGGTCAATGTGAAATACAGTTAAACTGTTCCATATTCTACTAATTGAAGGCAATGCTGTAACTTCCAGTCTCATCTTTCGTCACTTCATGTAGACTCACACAGGTGAAAAAGAAAAAATTTGCCCATATTGTGGACAGAAATTTGCAAGCAATGGAACACTGAGAGTTCATATTCGAAGCCATACAGGTACAGTGATACTTACTATAACAAACTGGAAAAAAATGTCTAAATTGAATACCAAGATATCTGTAAGTTTGTCTAGAAATGCTGAGCTTATCTAGAAACAGAAATTTATAGGTAGGCCCAACAGCCTTTTTTTCAGACATTTTGCTTGCATAGTGTGTAAAACCAGGTTCTGTTTTGAACTGTGATTATATATACACATATATGTGTTTATTTATATGAACATTCAGTGTGAATTCATTCATTTCTATGACTTCTGAGGTGTTTTGAAACTCCAGACTCATGTTATTGTATCTTCTGACTTTATTACAGCCTACATGTTAGCCAAATTAGAATGTTTTACTTTTAGAACACTTTAGCTCCAAATTTGTTTTCAGTTGCAGCATCTGAATCATTCTGCTGTTCTGTAAGTATTCCTAAGTTTGAGTTATGTAACTTGTTTTATATTGTCACCCAGATTGTGCTGCTGTTTCCTTATGTGCTTCTGTAAACACACTGAAAACAAACTACTCGTGTCATTTACATAGGTTTCACTTTCTGAGCTTATGTTTTCATTTCATATAATTGGCAGGCAAATGAAAGGAGCCGCTTTGTGATAATTTGTTTCCAACATAAAATTGTGTAGATTTGCTTTTCGCAGCCAAAGCATCTATTAACAAGTAGTCTTTCTGTGACATTCCATTTACTTCATATAAGCATATTTGGTTTGCAGGAAAATGACAGAATTGGTGTTTCTAATAACTCAGCTTCATGTGATTTTTTGTCATAAGTATTAATCACTTCAGTGTATCAGGACCACCTGTTGGGATTACAGGTTTTTATTAGTTTGATGTATTTTATGATTTTGGATTTGACTACCACTAACAAATTTTGTGATCCTGTAGTCAATTTAAAAGACTAAACTTCAGTTTAATAGTTACCTCTTCATCTTTGCTAAATTTCATGCTAGGAACATTTTTCACTCATGAAAACTTTATAAAACATACTTATGAGCCTGCATATAAGCTCAGGTGGTTAGTATATAATGTAATCATAGACACAAAAGACCCTGAAAGTCAAAGCTGATAAGACAGAACCACTGTGCAACAGTTCTCTCTTCTATTCCTCTTCCTTACGCTTGTTCTTTCTTCTAGAACTGCACTTCCGCGACCTCTTTCAAAGTCCTCCCTTCATGTTGTGTCTTTTCTATCTTCTATCACATAAGCTGTTATTTGTTCTTTTTTTTTGTTTGTTTTTTTTTTTGACTTCCTCAAGATGCACAGAAGGGGAAGGAAGAAGAAAAACAAATATGAAAACACAAAATACCATTCATGGAGCATATGATATGAGAACTGAGAGAATTCTTGGGTACTGTGCAATCAGAAGGACCAGCCACTTACTCACTTGGGCTGTATACATTAATGAACCAGGTTTTCAGGAGTGAAAGGAAGCAATCTGATCGCTCTGGTAGTCACTCTGCCCATCAATCCAGATTTCTAGGACCACAACTGCCAACAATTCCAATTATCTGGTTTTTTTTTTTTGTTTTTGTTTTGTTTTGTTTTGCTTTTTGTTTGTTTGTTTGTTTGTTTGTTTGAGGATTATTTTGTTACTTTATTTATGGATGTTTCTTGCCATCTCATGAGCAAACCATTAGCCTTTAATTTTCTTGTTTTTACGTACTAGACTTCCATGGAAATTAGAACTCATATATTTTTTTGTTTTGTTTTGTTTTCTTTCTCATTTCATAGGTCCTTTTCTGAAACCTTAGGTACAGTTTCTGTGTACTGTGCATGTTACACATCAGTTTGCACAGTAGAGAGGCTCTAGTTTTACAAGCTGATAGTGCAGATAGATCTCGGGAAAAGTTTTATAGATGTCCAAGTGAAAATGCTTTTCACACATATTCTCCTACCAGTTGCATTTAATGTTTCACTGCTCTCAAGCAGATTTTTCCAAAATTTGGAGTTATGCTAAGATGAGTTTAATGAAACATCACACCGGAGAACTCTAATCTTGGGGATAGAGGCTTGCAACATTTTTAACCACTATTATACCAGAAGCTGTAAACAACGACGTTTTAAACTTTGGAGAAGTTGAAAGGCACTGAGGTTTTTTATTATCTTTGTGGATTAAATATGGTGGGAGGAAGTTCTGTGTCAGGAGATGGTGCATGTTTCAGTTAGTGGAATATCCATTCAATGTGATAGTACCTCATGAAGAATCTCACTGCAAATAAAAATGAGGAAAACTTTCAAGTCCCCTATATAAAAAGCTTAAAGTACTACTTTTCAAGAGAATTACAACTTAAAGGAAATATCTTGCTGAATTAATTTGTAACGACCTGCAACTGATCCTGTCCTCTTCCAGTCCACTTCCTATATTGATGTCAATGTGATTTTTGTTAGAGGGATTTTTTATTTGCATCCTTCACTCTAAAACTCTTCACATATATGTATTGTGATGTCATTCTCATACAGCTCCTGATCATTTCATGGTAATTATGATGAAAGGTGGAAAAAAGGGAGCAGGAGGAAATTGCCTCAAAGTTTTGACTTCCCAGTGGTTAAAAAAATAATAATCAGTAAGTTATACAGTGCAGTACTTTATACTAAATTTAGTGAGAAAATGCCTTCTTAGATTTGTGTTTCACTTCAGAAGGAGAGGTTTTGACTTGTCTTGTGGCTGAAGACTTCAGCTAACTTGTTTGAGATCATAATGTATGCAGATAATTTGCTTTGTATGCAGACACTTTGCTTTGGTGTGAGAAAACTGTGCTGTATTCAGGGGATCCGAGTGAAGCACAGCTTTCTGAAGGATGTTTTGCATCATTTCAAAAGAATGTCAGGATAGTTGGTAAAAGAAATTAATATTATCTGGAAACAGTACAAAGAAAGTACTCATTTGAAGGCTTTTAGTAATAAAGTTATCAATATTGTGAAAATCGTTGACAACTTGTCAGGCTTTTTCAGAAAAGTCTTCATTTCACCAGAAGAGAGCCACAAACTTGTTAAATTTAGGGGAATATTTGGTTTTGAAATGTCGCTGTGTTGAGTACCTCATACTCTTGGTATCTGTTAAAATTATCGATTTTAAATTACTGAATTCAAAACTGTGGACTCCTTTTTTTTAGCCAGACTTCAAAGAATCACTTTTCATTCTTAGTTAGAAGTGAGTCAGCCACTGTCCATTTGCAAGAGATTATTTGTAAAGACATCTGGGGATAAGTTCTCAGTGCAGCTGAACAGCACATTCTAAGTGTAAAGACTGCAAAGAGCTTCATGTCTTAGAGATTAGTTTTGAGGTCCTACTGCAGATATTTGTATTATCGCATTTGCTGTGCATGTGGTCAGCTAGACTTTATTAGCTACTTTATATAAGAGGCTTTGTTCTGTGTTTACCAAATGAAACTAGGCAGAGGTCTTTTAGAAAGAGTTGTGTATCTTTTTTTTTTTTTTTTTTTTTTTGATAAGGCTGTTTGAGCTAAGTTTCTTGGAATCCTGCTCATTCTGCTTTGGACTTGTACTTTTGTCACACTTAATAATCTATGTACAAAAAACCAAGCTTTTATTCAATACGCAGCACGCGTTCCTAAATACTGTTAATCGCAGATGGATGCATGCTTCTTCAATAAGCAATTTTCTTCCCTCTTTTATCTTAGAATAAGACTCTGTAAATGAGCCCTAACAGTACTTGGCCTTTTGCAGAAACTGAGATGGTTTGGGGTGAGTGAACATGTCTGCATGTGCATGTGTGGAGGGAAGTGGTTGATGTTTGCATCTGAACCTAGCATTTTGCTCTGTAATTCATCATCTCAATTTCCAGCCTTGGAATGACAGAGACAGCTCTCTGTAGGTCAGCTGAAACACTATAGCACATTCTCCCTCTGCTGTATCCTGTTGGTTTATGGCTTCTTAGGGTCAGAGGGAGATGGGGTTAATTCAGCAAAAGAATCCTCTGACTGTGATGTAAATTCCTTGGCTTGTTCATAACTTGTAGAAAAAATTCAATGGACTGCTCCTTGGGCTGGAAGGCTGTGAGGTGGGAGGTTAATTATATGCTTAAATTTTCAAGCAGCTTTCAGTGCTAAAAGTTACTGACTGGTTTGTGCAGTTTTGCAGTTCCTTATGCATAGGTATTAAAGTCCTGTTAATTGCTGTCTTACATGTGTGTCTATGTGTGTGTATATATGTGTTTGTGTATGTGTCTGTGCTATTTGTATACATACATTTTATCTGCCTGATACCAGTACTGATTCTTGCCTCATTAGTTGCATCCTAATCCCTTCCATCTTTGGGATGTAGCACATCAAGTTGTGGAACAATGAAAGTTGCAGTAAAGTAGTCAATATTTGCAGGTTCATTTATTTTTGATCAAAGATAACTGAGTCTATTTAAACTGCAACTATCCTCTCCATGATATGTTTTTTCTATTCCATTATACAGGGACTAGCGTTAGGGATAGCTAATGATCATACATGTATTTCAGAAAATGCTTGAGCATTAAAATGTACGTGGCTATGCAGCCTTATTCTGTTTAGTTTTTGTTTTTTTTTTTCCCCCATGGTATTTGTTCGAAGTCTGTTATGACAGTTAAAATAATGATTTCATGTATCCTAAATGTTTTCTGAAAGGATTAATGTTTTCATTCTATACCTTTTTAGAAGTTACTTGATGTGTCATTCTTCCATATAGTATTCTCTGATATTTGAAAAAAAGTTGCTTCATTTTTTTAAGAGTTGAGGTGATTGTTGGAAATTAATTTCCATGTGCATGAATTAAAGGTAATACCACAAATTTACATGAAAGTATAAAAAATGATTCAGGCCATCAACTTCACTGTCCTTTGTGTCAACACAGCTAAGCTTACTTTTTAAAATTTCCATCCCCTTTATAAAAACTGTTTTAGAAACTCTTTGAAACATTTTATCATAATTGTCCCTTATAACTTTAGGTGCTTATTTGTTCTTGGAATATCTCTTGCTCTGCACTGACAGCGTGAAACAATCCAAACTTTACCATGGT